GAAAGGCATTGGAGGGACATAAAGTATTACATAATGTGATTTACATTTAAACAAGATTACTTTAGCTGCTGTGTGGGGTAGAAGCAGGGAGAGCAAGAGGAAATTGCCCTAGTCAGTTTTGCTTAAATCTTCTAATCATCGTATAGGCTTTATTTGAGGAGGTAAAGGCCAGATAGCTATATAAACTTACTATTGTAAACATATTGACCCTGCAAAGAACACATAATCTCCAGTTTTCCAGCTTTTATTGGAACAAAGATGGGAGAATACATATTTTTTCTTTTAGTGTTTGTTATAGTTCAAAGATGATTACAAATTTAATCAGGAAGATAATGGGAGGATGGATGGATAAATAGAAAAGAGAATATTCTTCTAGGCAGGATACTCTGCATCTTGCTGTGTATGTTTGACACTATTGTCTTTGTGCTATTTGTGTCTCAGTTTTTTCCCCATTATTATTCAGAGTGTTTTTTGTGGATTAAATGATGCCCCACTGTATGTCTTTCTTCTCTGAGGCTAAGACAGTGAGTGTTAAAGGTATAAGTGAGCAAAGGAAAGGAATGTAATCTACATTTCACTCTTGGAAATCACAGTGTGGAAAAAGCATTTATTTCAGTTTGGCAAACATGTACTGGGTATACGTTATGTGGGAGACACTACATGTTGCCTCCAAGACTAGAGGCCCGATGCATGAAGATTTGTGCAAGAATGGGCCTTCCTTCCTTTGGCTGCCAGCACAGCCTTCGATCAGGCCCAAGCTGCCTTTCTGCCTTCCCATGATGCCCAGAGGCTGGCGCTGCTGGGGTGGTGCAGAATGCCTGCGAGTGTCCCACCCCCATAATTTGCATATGCTTGGCACCTGCATATGCAAAATTAACTTACCGTGTTTCTCGGAAAATAAGACATCCCCTGAAAATAAGACCTAGCTCAACTTTGGGAGAAAAAAATTAATATAAGACACTGTCTTATTTTCGGGGAAACAGGGTACCATCTTTGTTGGGTTAATTTGCATACTCACTCCTGATTGCCTGGTGGGAGTCATGAAGGTATGGTCATTTTTGCATGTTTCTCTTTTATTAGTGTAGATAGAATTTTCTGGGAGGTTTTTTTTTTTTAAGCTTTTTATTTATTTTTATTTTTTTATTTTTTATTTTTAAAAAAATATATTTTATTGATTTTTTACAGAGAGGAAGGGAGAGAGATAGTTAGAAACATCGATGAGAGAGAGTCATCGATCAGCTGCCTCTTGCACACCCCCTACTGGGGATATGCCCGCAACCAAGGTACATGCCCTTGACCGGAATCGAACCCGGGACCCTTAAGTCCCCAAGCCGACGCTCTATCCATTGAGCCAAACCGGTCCCGGCTAAGCTTTTTATTTTTATTTTATTTATTTATTTAAAAAAATCTTTATTGTTCATATTATTACAAATGTTCCTTCCCCCCTCCCCCCTGTTGTTCTCCTTCATCAGGTTCCCACCCCACCCCCCTTTCCCCACCCCCATTGTCTTCATCCATAGGTGCACAGTTTATGTTCAGTCTCTTCCCACACCCCCCTCTCCCCAAGAATCGTCAATTCACTCCCCTTCCATACCTCTGATTCTGTTATATTCAACAATTAATATTGTTCATCAGATTTTTTTTTTAATTTTCTTGGTTTTTAGATTCACTTGTTGATAGTTACGTATTTGTTGTTCATAATTTTTATATTTTTTACTTTCTCTTCTGAAAGAACTCCCTTGAGCAATTCATATAATTCTGGTTTGGTGGTGATTAACTCCTTTAGCTTTTTTTTTTTATTATTGGTGAAGCTCTTTATCTGGCCTTCGATTCTGAGTAATAGCATTGCTGGATAGATTATCTTTGGCTGTAGGTTCTTACTATTCATCACCTTGAATATTTCTTGCCATTCTTGTCTGGCCTGCATGGTTTCTGTTGAGAAATCAGCTAATAATCGTATAGGTGCTCCTTTATAGGTAACTACCTGCTTTGCTCTTGCTGCTTTTAATATTTTCTCTTTGTCTTTTGCTCTTGGAATTTTAATTATGATGTGTCTTGGTGTGGTCCTCTTTGGATTCCTTTTGTTTGGAGTTCTGTGCGCTTCCTGGACTTGTAAGTCTAATTCTTTCACCAGGTGGGGAAAGTTTTCTGTCACTATTTCTTTCAGTATGTTTTCGATATCTTTCTCTCTCTCATCTTCTGGGATGCCCATAATTCTGATGTTGGTTCGCTTGAAGTTGTCCCAGAGGTTTCTTATATTATCTTCAACTTTCTGGATTCTCTTGCTTTCTTGCTTCTGCGGAGGAGTGTCTTCTGGCTCTTTATGTTTCAAATCTTTGACTTGATTCTTGCGATCTTCCATTCTGTTTTTAGGACTCTGTAAAATATTTTTTTATTTCAGACAATGTATTCTTTATTTCTCGTTGATCCCTTATTATTTCTAGTTGATCCCTTTTCATATCCTCATAGGTCTCGTTTATTTTATCGGTTTTTTCTACCTTATAAGTATGGTTTTGAACTCTATATCCAGTCGCTTTTTGTCCTCCATTTCTTTCGTTTGTGATCTTTGTCCTTGTCTCTGCATTTTCGCAGCTTCCCTGAGTTGGTAGCCTTAAAAGTCTCTGTGTTCTGTTTGGATGTAGTTTCAGGGTGGAGCCTATAGCTTTGGCTTCCGTCAGCCACGCCCTATGCAGCTCCTGAGTCTCAGTATTCCTTAGGGTCCTTCAGTACTCGTTGTAACCACCTCTGAGGGAAAGGTGTCCTCGATTTTCGCCTGCTATCAAACAGTCTAGGCTCTCCCCCAATGAGCCCAGAACTGGGGTTCAGTTCAGTTGGAAGTGGAGTTGGAGGTGGCGTTCAGAGCAGACTGGGGCTTTTGTCTCCTTCCCGCCAGGGCAATCCCGAGAGGCACAGCCAACCGTCCCTTCTCTGCGCACAATGCGCATCTCTGGGACGTCCTTTCTCTAGGTCTAGCCTAGAACTGGGGTTCAGAGCAGTTGGAACTGGGGCTCAGCACAGTCCGGAGCTTCTGTCTCCTTCCCGCTAGGGCAATCTAGTAGCAGAGTCAACAGTCCATCCTCTGCGCGCAATGTGCATGCCTCCAGGGGTTCTGCCTTTTGCATCTCCCCTGGGATTTCGCCTCACAGCCCCGGCTCCCTCTGTACGAGCCTGGGTCCCCAGGGTCTGGCCTACAACTGGGGTTCAGTACAGTCCGGAGCTTTTATCTCCTTCCCACTAGGGAACGCCAGCCAGGCACTCAGCCTCCCCCTCCTTTCCGGCTCCGTCCTCTTGGCGCGCGCCGCGTGTCTCCGTACCTTATAGCTCCTCCGCTCTTCCTTCTGGTTTTCTCCTTGCTTCTCGTTGTAGAATTTCCAGTCAGTCGACTTTGCTGTAGTTCTGGGTAATGTCCATTTTATATTTTAGTTGTATTTTATTGAAATTGTTGTGTGCGGCTGCGGTTAGGTGTTTACCTGTGCAGCCATCTTGGATTCTCTCTTTCTGGGAGTTTTAAAGTTAAGAAAAATCTTTTTAAATTAGAGATGTAGACCAGGAAGTTTTCCATGAGAGGTCATTTTTATTTTTATGAATGGGTAGAATTTAGTGTTTTGTTTTGTTTTTTCAAAAACAATACTTACAAATAATTTATGTACAGTTAATTGAATATTTAAGGCTTAAAATTTGACGAGTTTTGATATGTAAAATAATCACCATTGTGAAATGAACATTTCCATCATTCCCCAACTTTTCTCATGTTCTTTAGTAATTTATGCCTTCTTATCCCAGGCAATCTTGATTTGGGGAGAATTGATATCTTAACAGTATTGATTATTCCAAGCTATGAAAACATACTATCTTTCCATTCATGAGGTTTATAATTCCTCTGGGGAATGTTTTTAGTTTTCAGTATAGAGAACTTGGATGTTTCCATTAGACTTAATCCTGAATATTTTGTTTTTGGATGCCATATACTTTTTTAAAAATTCATTTTCCAATTGCCTGCTGCTAGTATATGAAAATGTAATTGATTTTTTTTATAGTAACCTTGTATCCTATAATCTCGTTAGTTCTAGTAGTTGTTTTGAAGATGCCTTGGGAGTTTCTATATAAACAGTTGTCACCTGCAAATAGACAGTTTTCTTGTCCCTCTGTGTCTTCCCACAATGTGTCTTCCCACAATGTCTTCCCTGTGTCTTTCCCTGTGTCTTCCCACAATGACTAAAATTTCCAGTAGGGTATTGAATAGGAGTGGTGAAGTCACTCATTTTTTTTTTCATTTGTAAGGGAAAAAGTGTTTAGTCTTTCACCCCTAAATATAACATAAGCTGTAGGGCTTCCGTAGATGCTATTTTTCAGATCCAGCACAGTAAACCTAGTTGGAGGTATACCTAAAAACCAATAGATAAGTTAGAATACTAAAATATATCTAAATCTGAAAGGGTGGAGGAAAGGAACTAAAAACATAGAGGTGAAACAGAAAACAATTTAGATCCAAATCTAACAATACCAACAGTTACATAAATGTTAACGGTCTAAACATGCCAGTAAAAAAGGCAGAGATTATCAGAGATGCTAAAAAAGCAGACTCGGCTAAATGTGGCCTACAAGGGTCATGACTTCAGATACAGATGAGTTGAGAGTAATGCTTGGAAAAATATATGCCATACAAACAGTAAGCATAAGGGTGCAATGACTATATTAACCAGTTAACTACTACACGTCCAAAATGGAAACCATCCCCACACAGCATGATGTTTTGAATTTGATTTAAAAAATCCATTTGATAGTGGATCAAATGGATAACCAGCTCTGTTCCACAAGGTCATTCGGATGTCCATGTTTATTCTACTCTGGTCTTCCCATTGTTCCGTAGTTGTTTAAGTTCATTTTCAGAAACAAAGTACAAAACTGAATGTTGGAGAATTTGATGACATACCTTCAAATTGTATTAAAGTTGCTGGATATATGAGCTAATAATTATTTATTTTGTTCTTGTATTTTAGGCCTCAACTCCATATAGCATAGATTCAGATTCTTTGGGAATGGAGTGTATTATTTCGGGAAGTGCCTCTCCAACTCTGGCAATCAACACTGTGACTAACAAAGTAATTACATTTTTAAAAACACTTTTAAAATGTCATTGAGTAATACATTTAATTTGCCTTTATAATAACAATAGAATTTTATATGGTTGAATTTAAAGATATAAATTTGTCAGCTTGAAAGCGGAATCTACAGTGTTCTACAAGTTAGAAGAAAATATTTCTCTATTTCCAATAGAGAAATTGGAAGGTGCTTTTTGGGAAGTTCTATAAGAAATTCTTGATACTGCCAGTTCTCATTGATAGAATTTTTGAGTCAACATTTTATTGTATTAATTTGTTTCAAAATCATTGACTACCCATCTAAATATATTTTAAAAAGGTTGTCGAATTCCCAGAGAGTCAACAGAATCAAAATAAATAATTTAGACAAACTCATAAAGTTCTTTGGAGTGGTGATCAACCTGTTTTAAGATGTTTGAGTTTTCTGACATACCCAGAAAATAGTATGTGGTAGTTTGCTGCATTTTTTTTTTTAAACAAGAGTAAAAACTTTGTGCTAACATAGCTACATAGTGGAATACAGATGTCTCTTCTTTACAAGGTATTTATTAAATCTTATATCTTAAAACCGTAAAAAGGCCCTGGAGGTTCATGAAGTAACTCAGTCCTATGTGTGCATGTTTTCTCCATTATTAGACCATAAGCACCTTGAAGCCATACATTGCTCACACTCGTGCTCACATTCTTTTAGTCTTGCTATTACCATCTCCTCTCTGGTGCTTCACTTGTTCTTGCTTTATCTCCATCTTTCACTCTTCCACTCACTCATAACATGCATAAACACATATACATGTACACATTTGCACTAATTTGTATACATAGGAATTTTTATTTGTAGAAAGATAATAAACAGAAGACATTATATAATAAGAATGACTAATTAGATTTTGAACTTAGAAAGGAAACTAGCAGCTGAGATGTAAAGTAATGGTTTTTCCCCAAATATAAATCGATGGAATGATTTTCATCAGGATCACTTAGGATAGGTGTGTTTGTGTGTGTGTATGTGTGTTTATGTGTGTGTGTATATAAGGGGGAAGGATTCCTAGATTCCATTATAGGCCTATCAAAAAAGTTACTTTCCTTGTGAATAGGGTGCAGGAAACTATACTTTCAAATCATCCCTAATGATGCCCAGCTAGCCTTGAGAATTTCTGGTAAAGCAGATGGGTTAGAATCAGAAATATCCAATACCGGTCTTTGCAGTAGTCCAAGTAGGAGATAGTGAGGTCTAAACATAGATAGTTGTGGCTACTAGGAAACAATTAGGAAATAGTAGTGCTAGGTCTTTATGACTAAATAATATGGGACTCAAAGGAGCTGCAATTTTTGGACTTTTGCTTCCTGATAACAATGGAATAGCTAGAATCAGTTTAACCCTTCTGCCTGTCTATATAAAATACCACCCCCACCACCAATAAAAAAGAGGGAGGAGGCATTGGAGAACAAAACAACAAAGACTTCATTATTCAGTATTTCCCTTGAGACATTTCCCAATTCTCAGTGTATGACATAGAGTAGGGGTGTCGAACTCAATCAGAGAAGGGGCCAAAATCTAAAATCCAGCCTAAATTGCGGGCGGAATGGTTTACTGAACAGTCATAAACTGTCATTGTGATGGAAACGCAGCGGAGTGCAGTGATGACAGCGCGGTGCGGGCCACATTGCAAGGCCTGGCGGGACGGATTTGGCCCGTGGGCCTTGTGTTTTACACATGTGACATAGAGGCTAAATAAAAAGCAGCCTAGAGCAGTCATTGAGTTAGGGAGAGGAAAATGAGTTTGGGGCTACCAAACAGAGTTGAGGACTACGGTCCGGAGAAATCTCAGAAGTAAGCTAAAGTTTTTGCAAGCAACATCCACTTAAGGCATTTGATAACTCCTAACCTGCATGTGCTTGGGCTCAGACACAGACAGACCAAAAAGGTTTTTTCACTGGCCAGAATTCAGCAGTCTCACAGAGAAGGGGAAGACAAAGGGGGGGGGGAGGGGGGACGGGGGGGGGGGGGATAACAATGTAAACATCCACAAGTGATCTAGATAATGATTTTTAAATAACTGACTAATATGTCCAAGATTATAGATGAATTATAGAAAATTCATTAGAGAATTGTAATCAGTATTGAACCTTGAAGAGAAAACTATAGAGCTAAAATGAAATAATAACTGAGCCCGGCTGGCATGGTTCAGTGGTTGAGCTTCGACCTAAGAACCGGGAGGTCATGGTTCAATTCCTAGACAGAGCACATGTCCAGGTCCCCAATACGGGTCATGTGGGAGGCAGCCGATCAATGATTCTCTTCTTTCATTGATGTTTCTCTCTCTCTCTTCTTTCTTCTCTGAAATCAATAAGAATATACTTTTAGAAAATCAGAGGAAAAAACCAGGCAACTTCAAGGGAACACAAATCAAGACAGTTCCTTTTAACTACTGGGTATTCTTCACTGCCACACACTGGGTTTTTATTAAAAACTACGGGCTCAGTGCATGAATTCGTGCACCTTGAAAGGAACTGTGGGCCACGAGGCTGTGGTGGGCATGGGCAGTCTGGCCTCGCCTGCCACAGCCCTGCTCCCGCCGCTCACACCCTCGCTGATGGTGCAGAGTGATTGGGGCTGGTACCAGCAGCAGGTGTGAGCAGGGCCATTGCCGTCAGTGGGTGCAAGCTGGGGCTATTGCTCCATCACCCCTTAGGAACAGAAGGAGGTGGAGAAGCCCTCAGGGGCAATTGGGGCTGCAGCTGCCACTTACACCCACTAATGGTGCCTATTGATTGGGACTAATGCTGGATGCTGGCAGTGGGTGCAAGCGGTGGCTGCGGGTGTGAGCGGGCCGGCTGATCACCCCTCAGGAGCAAGAGAAGGTGGATAAATCCTGAGGGGTGACCGGGACCAGCTTCGGCAGCAGATGTGAGCACCAGGCAGGACTGGAGCAAAGCATTTTCAGTAACTACCAGAGGCTCGCTCCAGTGACAGTGACTGGCGCCCTGCCTTGGTCTGACACCCCCACTCACGTGTTCCACCATCACACCACAGCCGATGCCAGCCATGTTCTGAACGTGTTCCCTGGTAGTCAATGCATGTCATAGCTACCGGTTGTTCAGTTGTTCCTCCATTCGATCTATTTGCATAGTAGCCTTTTATTATATAGTATACTGGAATAGTTATATAAATGTGATCTCTTCTCTCACAATGTCTTACTGTACTGTATGCACCATGCGGATATGTTGGACAAAGGGATGATTCACCTCCCAGATGGGACAGAGCAGGACAGCTCGAGGTTTCATCATGCTACTCACAATAGTACGCAATTTAAAACTCATGAATTGTTTATTTTTGGAATTCTCCATTTAATATTTTTGGGCTGTGGTTGACTGTGGGTAACTGAAACTGTTTAAGGGGGTACTACTTCTTCCCTATAAGTTCCTATCGATAGATACATAATTGTTCCCTGCTGATATGTATTTGAATATGGTACAGTCTTGCTTTGCCTTATGTGGAGGAGGATATATGCCTAGTTTTCAACATACCTAGCCAGCCTCTTCTGGCAAATATTTGTGAGCATTGAGCATGACTGCTTTTTGCACAGAGAGAAAAATAGTATAGCCCAAATAGGTATTAAATTCAGCAAATATTTATTATATACTGAGCAGAAAGCATTGTACTATGTATATTTACTTATTGGTGACTCAAGGAGCTAACAGTTTAGTAATAGATAAAAAAGCTCGTGTATTAATTTTTTCCACAGAAGTGAGACCATAGAAGAAAAGTTAGTAGTGGCATCTGAATAGAACCTTGAGGGAAGAATAGTTAGGCTACTTTTAAAAACTTTTTTGTTTATTTCTAATAAAAAATTATGCTTATTATTAACAAACTTGAGCGTTGTAAAAATACATACTGTCTGTGATAAAAGTCTTCAGGAATACCCAGCTCCTGCTAGTTAACCATTGTTAACATTGTGATATATAGCCCTTCATGTCTAATGCTTATATACAGGGTGGGGAAAAGTAGGTTTACAGTTATGAGTATATAAAACAGTTTATTCTTATATTATTATTAATTATTGTATTTTCCATATGAACAGCTATAAACCTACTTTTGCCCACCATATATTAGCATATTATTATTATTTATTATTACTTTAAAAAACTAGATCATATATCTGATTTTGCAAATGTGTTAGAAAGAGTGTCCAATTTCCAGTATTAAAAACATTGATATCTGATTTTTTTAAATTCTATTTTTTGTGTTCTTTGTTTGATGCCTAAGATTATGATAGTGAACAGGAGTTTTGCTAAAGCTTGAGTAAAAATAAATTTATGCTTTGTAGAAATATTTAAAGTCTACTGTAATTCACTTACCAAAAGTTGATGAACTAATTATAACTTGATAGTAAATTGAATTTATGTATCTCTGGATAGGATATATCCTATCGTTTGAGAGTAAATTATTTCATAGTGAATATGGAGTTAGCAGTGATGGGCATGGAATTGGAGTAGGTAGGCACCAAAGAAAAGACCACTAACTTTTTATTCCATATTCAGCAGCTAGTTGTACTTTTGTAGAGTTGCTTAAAAAAGTACTCTTTATAGTAAGAATTACTTATTCAAATGTTGCTTTTCTTTTCAATCTAGGTAACATTGTACAACACTGAGCAGGATGGTAGTGATAGTCCACGCAGTAGCCTTAACAACAGTCTCTCAGACCAGAGTTTGGCATCTGTTAATTTGAATAGTGTTGGAAGTGTGCATAGTTATACACCGGTAAGTCTTGATGAAGTTAACTTCTTTGTTGAGTACTCATTTAATGCTTAACACCAAACCAAACGTAATTGAAATGCTAATAAAAAATGAAGATGTATATTTTTAACTGATCAATTCATTAGCTTAGATAACTCGAACTTATTTCTACCTTCATAGTGTTTTAATTGGATACTTGTATTTTACCAAGTTAGATACAAATATATGCTTGTGTACTATGTTATATATTTCGGTTTTCTAGATGTGTTTTGTGTCCAAGTGATGAGCAGTTGGAATAGAAGAAGATTATTCCTCAGTCTAGCATAGCTATATTTTAGTCCTTGGTAAAAGAGCCTAGAGGATGTATGTGTATATCACCTTATTTCCAGCTGTAGATTTGAGAAGAGGATTCTATAAATCTCAAGGTTAGAATGAACCTGCTACCAAGTTGTTAACCAGTCTTGTATTTAAATTTTTGTCTGGAAAACAAAGGGACCTGTGTGAGTGTTTTTGCTCCTGTGCTGATTTGATTATCTATTATATGAGTACATGGCCCTTGAGATATTTGATACTTCTTTTCTAATCATCTGATAACTATCCTCACCAGTAGACAGAATGAGTCTTAAGAGCCATCCACCCCACTTTCTTGGTATAAATTTGATGGTAGCAGATCACTCACCAGGATGAGTAAATACGTAAAAACTTATACAGGACAAATATGTAAAATGGGGATGGAGGTGGGGACTGAAATAAGAAAATAACACAAGGAAAACAACTCAGAGCAGAATTAAAATTCAATGTAGGTAAAAAGAAACGTGATTCTGTAAAACTGTTATCAATGCTCTGGGGAAAAGGGGAATTAAAATAGTATTCTCTCATAATGAAGAAGAAACAAATAAAAAAAGAATCTATAATAATAAAAAGCGTAATATGCTAATTAGACCAGACGTCCTTCCAGGTGACATTCTGGACGAAGCCACGGTGATGGTGGCTGAGGCAGAGGTGGCCACTGTGATGGCGGGGGTTGAGCCCCTTGTACAAATTTCATGCATTGGGCCTCTAGTAGTTATGTAAAAGAAGAGAATAGATATGGAGAACTGAGAATTATAAGTATCCCTGAAGAAGAAATTAAGAATAGTTGGCACAGAAGCAATCTTTAGAAGAAACAGAGATTAAAAGGGCTTCTGAGTTCTTGAAAAAGTTAATGGAGAAAGAAACGTATACCTAAACACATCAAGACAGATTTTAAAATTTTAGAAGTAATCATTCATATAAATACTCAGGGAGAACAAAAATGGGATACATTCAAAGAAATACAAACCATACTTCCTTTCCTAATACTAAATGCCAGGAGGTAATGGAAAACTTGATGTAGAATTTTAGTTAATAGATTTGAGATTATAAATATTGATGCCCAGCCAAATTCTCATTTATATGTGAAGCTAAAAGACATTATAGAGAGCTTACAAAACATTCTACCCTTGCTTTTTTATGCTCTTACTGGGGGAAAAAAGTCTTTTTTTTTTTTTTTTTTTTTAGCTGATTAAGAGGTGAATTAAAGCACTCAGTAATGAGAAAGTCGTGATATTAAAAGACTATTTGGAGTATTGAAGCAAGCTGTGCAAAGATTTAATGATTTTAAGTAGTTTTGAAAATACTGTATTTTTCAGACCATAAGATGCTCCGGACCATAAGACGCACCAGTTTTTAGAGAAGGGAAATGAAGAAAAAAAGATTCTGAAACAAATAGTGTCCTAAAATATTTTATGTGCATTAAAACCCAACATCACAGTCATAAACACATGTAATCAACCCTGTAAAGTAAACAGCAGCATTTAGAACCATTTTAGAGCCGGGCAAGCACACACAGACCACACAGAGCCGGGCAAGTAAAAAAACTTTTTTTTAAAAGTATATGTGTAGGCTATATTTGGACCATAAGACGCAGGGACTTTCCCCCCCCACTTCTGGGGGGAAAAAAGTGCGTCTTATGGTCCGAAAAATACGGTAATTTAAATATAGAAAATCTTGAAACCAAAAGAAATTAAAGGGCACAGAGTCCTTATATTATATCAAAAAATAATAAGGAAAAAACTTTAAAATTTATAGAACTAAGAGAGAAGTAAGAACAAAGATGTCTGTTATATCAGTATGCCTAAGAAGGTTTAACTCCTTGGTAAAAGAAAGACATTGTAGACAGCTTTTTTCATTTAACAAGATATCAAGCTGGTCATCGAGCACTCCTTAAGCCACAGTACATTGTCAGCTGCTGGCTGAGCTTATCACAGGTCCATTGATTGAGCTTATAAGGACACAGTAATCCCAGCTACATTGAGACAGTTTCATTCCTCATACAGACAGTATAAGCCACATCGGTATGGTGTCACATCCCATTGGACAACCCCTAATCACAGGAGCCAGATGACAGACTGCATAAGGGGTCACTATAAGTGGAAGAACAAATTCTAGACTGCAGCTAAGCAATTGTATAACTTGTAGCTGTACCCTACAGGAATAAAGTGGAAAGTCCCTTGTCTCACTGGAAACAGGGAGACAGATGAGAAACTGTCTCTGAGCAACTTGCTGCAAGATGGTGAGGTTGACAAGAAACTGCCCCATAGCTGCCTCCAGCAAGATAGGATGTTTGATGAGAATTTGCTCCTCATAAGACCAGTCATCATGCCCTGTTTTAGGATAATCACAGTGTTCACTAAATATTAGGTCTAGTAATAATTAATGTCGTTTTCTAATACTTTTTTAAATTGAATTTATTTAAACAATACAACAAAATTTAATCAACAATATAGTTACCGTTTTCTACTACTTGTGCCCAACGCTCAGGAAGCATTTTAATCCCTCTGTTGTAAAATTCTTGTGATTTTGATGCAAAAAATTCGGTCAATGCATTTTTGAGGCATTCTTCATTATTAAATTTTTTTCCAAGAAGAAAGTTTTGCAAAGAACGAAACAAATGGTAATCGGAAGGGGCAATATCAGGAGAATATGCAGGTTGAGGGAGAACTTCCCATTCCAACTGGTGCAGTTTTTCAGCAGTGATTCTTGCAGTATGCGGTCGTTCATTATCATGGTGAAGAATTACGCCCTTCCGATTAATCAGCGCGGGTTCTTTTTCTCTTAAAGCTTGGGCTAACCTTTCCAGTTGGGCACTATACACTGCACTTGGAATGGTTTGGTTAGATGGTAAAAGTTCATAATGAAGAATTCCTTTAAAATTCCACCAAACACACAACATCACTTTTTTCGCATGCAAGTCAGGTTTTGGCGTGGGCTGCGGAGCCTCATTTTTGTGCAACCATTGAGGCCGCCTTTTCAAATTAACATACAGCACCCATTCTTCATCTCTGGTAACAATTTGCTCTAAAAACGGCAAACGGTTTTGACAAGAGAGGAGCGAACTGCAAATTGTCACTCTTTGATTACAGTTGTTGTCGGTCAACTCATGAGGAACCCATTTTCCAAACTTTTGGACTTTGCCAAGTGCACGCAATTGATTGGAAATTGTTTTCTGTGAACAATTTAAAGTTGTCGCAAGCTCTTGTTGGGTAATTTGAGGATTTTGCACCAAAAGAGATTGAAGAGCTTCTTGATCAAAATTGGACACACGGCCTCGACCACTCTTGTCATCTAACGAAAAATTTCCCTCGCGAAATTTCTTCAACGCTGGCATTTTCTGGCGCTAACTGCATCTTGACCAAGAGCACTACAGATGTTTTTTGCAGCCTCACTTGCTTTTCTTCCTAATTGGAACTCGTAAAGCATGCAGTGCCGAATATGCTCTTCATCCGCCATCTTCTTAGCCCTAGTTTTGCAACAAAAACCAAACCAAACACAAACTTTTTCAAGCAAAACTTGTTAATTGCACTTCACATGTTCTGTAGATACCACGTGTTTGAAGGTTATGTCAATACAAGTCAACGCCAAGCAAGATTTTAAACGAATGTTTAAAAACGACATTAACGACATTAATTATTACTAGACCCGATAAATGGTGGCTTACCACTCCTTGATATAGCCTTTAAGAGACACTGCTGATCTTTTTTCTTTTCTAGTTGTGCTACCTTCAGAGATAATTTTTATTTTGTACATGTTTCTGGTGCTTTTCAACCTCTTGTATAGCTCAAGCTCTTGATCTATATATAGGTTGAGGCAAAAGTAGGTTTATAGTTGAGAATCCACAAAACAGTTTATTCTTGTATTATGTACGATGGGCCCAGTGCATGACTTCATGCACCTTGAAAGGAACTGTGGGCCACAAGGCTGTGGTGAGCACAGGGACAGGTCTCAGTCCATCCTCTATGCCCCCGTCTGACCCCTCCAGCGCCTGCTGGCAGCTCTGTCCCTCTGCTCATATCCACTAATGGCGCTGTTCCTGCTGACGTTGTTCAGTTACTGGGGCTGATGCCAGCAGGAGGTGCAAGCAGTGGTTGCTACCCTGATTGCCCCTTAGGAGCAGGGGGAGGTGGAGAAGCTCTGGGGGGCAATCTGGGCCAGCACCGGTGCCGGCAGTGGGTGTGAGCAGCAGCTCTGGTGTTGGCAGCGGGTGCAAGCACTGGGTGGGACGGTAGCATATTGGAGCAAAAAATTTTCAGTAACCACCAGAGTCCTGCCCCGATGACAGCATCCAGCCGTGGTCTGGCACCCCTGCTGTGGCGGATGCCCACCATGTTCCGTGCGCGCACACCCTGGTGGTCAGCGCATGTCAAAGCAACTGGTTGTTTGGTGGTTCCCCGGTTTGGTCTATTTGCATATTAGGGTTTTATAGAGAGAGACTAGACTACTGTATTATTTTTCATACAAACAATTGTAAGTCAAACTTAGCCACAACCTGTATTTTGTTTTTTCTCAGAAACTACTTTGTCTTTTATCCTTCATTTCTCATTTCCCCTCAGTTTTATTTCATTTAATAAAAAAACTTTTCCCTAGAAATGATGAGTTAGATGTATTAAAGTTCCTTGCTGTTTTGGGCAGTGCCACAAAAACTGATTATAGTACAGTATTTAAAATTTTAATGTTTAAAGATTAATTGAATAAATGAATAAGAAATGTTAGTACTGTGTTTCCCTGAAAATAAGACATCCTTCGAAAATAAGACCTAGCGCACGGAAAGATAAGACATCCCCTGAAAATAAGACCTAGCACAACTTTGGGAGAAAAAATTAATATAAGACACTGTCTTATTTTTGGGGAAACAGGGTAGTTTCATAATATAGTGGCATTTGAGATGAAATTGTTTCTATAGAAATCAAATGAAGATGCTACAGAAACTTTCCAGGCTTATTAGTTAATCACATACTTGTATTATCTTGAGAAAGTCATTTATCTTCTTTGAACTCTTTTCTCCTCTTCTGTGAAATAGGGAGGTTGGATTAAATTTCATTGTTCTTCAAGATCCAGGTTAACAATTTTGTGGTCTGTACCTTATGTACACCCCCAACTTAAACAGAGGATAGAAAAGTCACAGACTGGGAAGTAAATATTTCCTTTGAGTTCTAAAAGCTTTTAATATTTCCAGTGATATATTTTACATAACAAATCAGTTCTGATATAGAGCTACTAAATTAGTAGTATTCTCTTTTAATGTTAGGTGACAAATCATCCAGAACCAGTCTCTCAGTCATTAACTCCCCAGCAGCAGCCACAGTACAACCTTCCAGAACGAGACAAACAACTACTTTTCTCAGAATATAATTTTGAAGATCTCAGTGCCTCATTTCGGAGCCTTTATAAGTCAGTTTTTGAGCAGTCACTTAGTCAACAAGGTGAGTTGTTTTTGTTTTGTTTTTTAATACTTTCTGTAAAGTAAATTTTTATTGTAAAATGTTCTTTTAAGAATTGTTTTCACATAGCAGCTGTTATATTTCCTTGATCTTAGAACATTATCATCATGATCAGGATTGAATGCTCTTTGTGTCTTTACTATGCTCTGTGTATATTTATATTATAACACAAGAATAGCAGATAAATTTCATCTTTCCTGCCTACTTCACTTGGTCTACTGGTGTCCTAGAGTTGTGTTGAAGAATCTGGTACTGCATCTGTGCCATCTGGGAAAGACTACCATGGCTAATTAGTGCTGTCTACCATGTGAATCACTTTAGTAGTAAATGTTGTACCGCAGAATAGATGTGCCTTGCCTTTCTTTTCTGACTGGTATTAGCAAAGAGATAAGTATTAGCAACAAATTTGTACTTTCACGAATTGCATTTAATAGTGAACACATTGCTTAGTGTTATGTTCTGGATCCTTGTTTTATACAACATATTTAAATCAGATTTTAACGCCAAAAGTGATTTTGGTTGAGATGCAGTATTACATCAACTAAATGATAATTAAGCTGCTATTATGTTTTACTATGCCTTTAATTGCTGGCTTAATTTTAATCAATCATGTAATAGGATCAAGATTTTCTTTTCTCCAAAGAACACTAGTCACACATTGACACTAATCACGCATTGTTGGGAACTGTACTGCTGAAATATTTCCTAGTTTGTTTGACAGATTAACTATTTATAACTCAACTCAGAGAGTTTACCTATTTACAGCAGTGAACGAACTCTTTTAGACAAAAATCCTGATCTTTACAGAGTTTACATTTTAATACATGTGATTGTCAGATTATGGTGAAAAGTTAATGTTATATACAAATATTACATATATCAATGAATATCAATAGCTTGTATAGGAAATTTGTTTTTCTGGCCAAAGGAAGAATTATGTATTCTTTAAAATTTTGTTTTAAATTTTCTATCTATAAAAGTATAAAAAGAACTAATATAAGACTTTTCTAAGCAGACCCAACCTTGGTGGTCATAATAGAAAATTACTGTCTTTGAAATAACAATGGTGAAGATTTCTGAAGCCCATAATGCTATTTCAATCAAACAAAAAGAGCATTGATAGGAATTCTAGGGTCCAGTCCTGGTTTTACCATAAAAGTCAACTGAGTTAATTCCACTTCTCTAGAATTCCACATCCGTGTATGTAAAACAAATAAGAGTAGATTACATGATTGGTTTTTAAGTTGTTCTCTTTGGAGTCCTTGGCTTTTGTGAAGGTCTTGGAGGAGTAAATTATACAGATGAAGAGGGAGACCGAGCAGTGTTTCTTCCCTGACTTCAAAAAAAGAAAACTATCAGTTTTACATATTGGGCTTTTGAAAGATACTTTGTTTCATTTGATTTAAAAATAATTTGGGATTGAAAATGTTGGTATGGATCATATTTAGATTCTCACTTAAAATGCCAGGACTTTATTGGACATGTATAATGAAATCACTGCTTTCTTTCATTTTACTGTAATAACTATAGATTCCATATAAATGACAGTTTTCCAGGCCAAGGCAAGAACTTTAACTTTTGTACCTATAAAACCTTAACGTATTAAGTTTTAAGGTTATCTTACAATGTACTCTACTGCAGTTTTACTGTTAATATTATTGACTATTAAGTATGAGAATACTTTTATTTTGCTTAAAAAGTTGGATTCTTTTATTGACTGACACTATGTTGCAGTATTCTATTTTTCATTTACCGGTAACATTTTTTTGTGTGTTTGGTTCAGCAAGACATGGTATTAGCCATACTTGCAATAGATTTATTAAAATGAGTGTTCACTTGCAAACCAAACATACATTTTTTTAATATTTGGCACTTCTGGCATCATCATCATCATCATCATCATCATCATCATAAAAGCTGGCATTTACTGAGCTCATCCTGCAGCCTGCACTTGCATTATGGCATTTTATCCTCACAACTCTATGAAGTAGATACTATCACCATGCCATTTATAGTTAAGGTAATTGTGAGCTGAAATGGTTAATAACTTTCCAGAGTTTCCAAGTGCAGTGCAGAGACTTTACTTTCTGGTGCTGTAAAATCTTAACGCCTAAACTGTGTTTCAAGAATGTTCCATAAGAGTAATGAAAAAGAATAATGGAGATGGCTGCTTTGTTTTGCTTAGTCTTTGTCTTTTAAGACTCAGTTCAGATACTGCCTTTTCAGGGAAGACTTCTCTATATCTCCATCTCCTTCTTACCTGAATAGGCATGAAACAAAGTTCTTGTACCCCACTGATATTGTTGGACATAATCTCTTATTTTAAATAGTATGTTTTGGTTGATTTTAGAGAGAGGAAGGGAGGGGGGGAGAGAGAGAGAAACATTAGGGATGAGAGAAATTCATCAATTGCCTGCCTCCTACATGCCCCTACTGGCCAAAACCTGGCATGTTCCCTGACCTGGAATCGAACTGTGACCTCCTGGTTCATGGGTCAACACTCAGTCACCGAGCCACACAGACTGGGTATGGACATGATCTCTTTAAGTGTCTCACTTCTACTAGAGCATAAGCTACTCAAGGGCAAGGAATGATGTTTCTTACTATTCTCAGTTACCAAGCCCAGTGGGTGGTGGATGTTCTATCAACACATCTTTTTCTCCTGCCTAGGGGCTTTTATTGGCTTTCAAAGCCATCAGCACTTGTTAAACTGAAACAAAGTTGCCTTTGACAACTTTGCCTCTGCTCTCTAATGTTGCAAACCTTTGTTATGAAATATATAACTGCAATCTGACTGTAAGTGAGCTTGCTTTTTCTGACTTTTTAGGTTTGATGAACATCCCTTCGGAGTCTTCCCAGCAATCCCATACTTCGTGTTCCTATCAGCAATCTCCTAGCAGTACAGTGAGCTCTCACCCACACGGCAACCAAAGCAACCTGTCCAACAATCATGGCAGTGGCCTCAATGCCACAGGCAGTAATTCGGTTGCACAGGTCTCATTGTCTCACCCCCAGATACACACACAATCGTCTCCACATCCACCCCATCGACCACATGGTTTACCACAGCATCCGCAGCGTCCCCAGCATCCAGCATCGCACCCACAACAGCACAGCCAGCTCCAGTCCCCTCATCCCCAGCACCCCTCTCCACAACAACACAGCCAGCTCCAGTCTCCTCATTCCCAGCACCCCTCTCCACATCAACACATGCAGCATCATTCGAACCATCAGCATCAGACGTTAACACATCAGGCACCCCCACCCCCACAACAGGTATCCTGTAATTCTGGTAAGTTTTTGTCTCCTGACTCTGTTTGGCTAATTGTGACTTAGGATCTGTCCTTTGTTATCTGGAACTTACCCGTATTTACTACCAACTCTCTTCATCTGTCTCTTGTGTTTCTTGCTCTAATCCTGATTTTATAACTCATTTAGTCCATAGATTTAACTGGAGATTTTCTTGATTAAAATGTGTTATGGCAATATTGGCAAACTCAGCAACCTCTTGCAGATTTCAAGATTTTATGTTCTTTTGGGAAATAAGTGTTTTTGTGAGTATAATTGACCCTTGAACAGTGCAAGGGTTAGGAGCTCTAACCAGTTGAAAATCTGTGTATGACTTTTTTATAATATTAAATTCAACTTAATTTAAATTTAACAAATAACAAATTGAAGTGAAAATAAAGAATTCTGAAACTTCAAGAATATTTGGCTTTATAAGTTAGCACAAAAAAATTATTTCCTGAAGATACCTCTGAAGTAAATAAAAATTATGAAGAATCATATAAAATATTCTTCTTGCTCTTCTATTTTCTCTTTTACTTTTGACTTCCCATTCATCCCTCAGTCTCCATAGGGGTTAGTTCCAGGACCCCCTTTGGTTACCAAAATCCAAGGATGTTTGAGTCCCTTGCATAAAATGATGTAGAACAGTGTATATAGTTGGCTCTCCGTGCCTGCAGATTCCCAACTAGGGATTGAAAATACTATCAACTGTATGTTTATTGAAAATAATCAGCATGTGAGCAGACCCATACAGTTTAAACCTGTGTTGTTCAAGGGTCAGCTGTATTTTGAAGAAGAAAGGAATGCACAGTCTGTCTAAAATCTCTTAGGATTCAGTCATATAGAAGAGAGATTTGAATCCTCATTATGATTTACGACTTCAGGTGCATTCTCAACTTCTTTTAGTCTTGTTTTCTCATCTATAAAAATAAAGTACACTGCCATACATTGTTGTTATAAGCTTCATATTGAGAATACAAATATGAAATGCCTAGTCCAGTACCTTGTATTTAAGTATTCAGTGAATATCTCCATTTTTTCTTTCTTTGTTTAATTCCTGCCAGGTAGCTCATTTTGGAATGGTATATTGGCAAAGGAAGAAAGCATTTTTTAAACCCTGATGCTTTGAAAATCTGTTACTCTTCAGATAGGTCTTGATGATTTCTGGTGAGATGCTTAACTGGCATGACATTGCTTATAAACCAAGCAGTCTTTGCACTGCAGAACTCCCAAGGGGTGCCACAGATATAGACTGCAAGGTGAATGGGGCCCTGGGAGTTATGCAAAGTACAGATCCTTCTCTTGTCTTGCCTGGTTGAGATTTTATCCTGGAGGAAAACTTGCTAAGTGCTAGACAGTGTAGTTCTTATTCACCAATTAAAAATTGACCATTGTTTCAGGCAGTTAAACTATTGTCAGGGAAATGAGTTAGGTAGTGCATACTGTCTCTTATATTCTGATTTTGCTTTATATCTTAAATTTTTCTAAAACTGTCTTGTTATTTACAATATGGAAAAAATAATACGTTTTTTGGGGGGTGTTAAATGATTTAAGGTAAAAAGTGCTTGCCAGAGTATTTGGAATTTAGTGATTTTCCTTTAACAATTTATTTTGTTGTATATTACTAATTCTAAGTAGAATAAAATCTGGAATAAAATTGAAAATTAGGTATAGTTCCTGCTTTGATGACCTATCGTCTAAAACATCTTGAAGTTCTTTTTAGATCTCTGCCTAGAGGAAAAGATATATAAGATAGCCCCCTTTAGTCACTCTTGCCTACCTTTTAATATCTATACATTTTTCACAAATGTAAGCTTGTTTTAAATATGATATTGAGGATTTACTAATGATTGTAGAATCTGGGCATCAGTAGAAGGCTGTGATGCTCTGGTCATACTCCCCCCCCCCCCCCCTCTCTCTCAAATGTTTATTTCAGATGCCATTTTATACATGGCTTTATTTTTCTGCTCCCCCCCCCCCCCCCCCCCCCCCCCCCGCTTTTATTTTTAGGTCTAATGATTGCTGGGGAGAAAAAAAGTACAATTATGGCTGAAAAAGCAACCTATGATGTGCCCTTAATGGCCTGTTATCCCAGTGGTGTATGGTCAGAGGATGAAAATAGACTTCTACCTTGGGAGTTAGGAAAGACTGTGGCTGTGATAATAGTCCTTATAATGATAAATTTTTCATTTATAAGATGGGAATAATAAGTTGTCTTTTACAGGTAGGGAATGGAGAGAACTTAGTTGTTTGATCCTTGTGGGAACCCTTAACACGACCCGAGTGATTAGGGCCCACTCAGGGTCCGGTTTCTGGAGGAGGCCACACACTAAAATGAAGAGAGAGACTAGAAAAGAATTAATTTGGGACAAATGGGGGCCAGGCGGGAGTGGGAAGGCTCTCTAGGCTCTGGCCTTGCTATCCCTTTTATTGAGGCTGCTATGGGATACACCCATTACCCTTAAGCAGCTTTGGGAAACACCTAGTACCCTTAAGCAGCTTAAGCAGGTAATAAGCGGATTATCATATCAGTAAGGATTTACATGATTACAAGATGGGGAAGTTGCCTCAGTTACTATTGTCTCAATTAGATAGGTGTGGTTGGCTCCGACCTTTCAGAGCTTCAAGGTTGACCAGCCTCTTTCTATTAGTGAGACAATGATTGGTTTCCGGCAGATCCTGAAAACAGAGTAATTTGGGCAGCAGTCACAGAATTTGCTACCTTGACAGGAGAACTGTGTTGAGGCACTTCTCACTCTTAAGGTTGCTTTGTAAGAAACATCTCTTGCTATACAATCTAATTTACCTCCCTTAGTCAGTGCTTTTAAGTCAAACTGCACATTGCTTCTAAATGTGACCCTGCCTTTAAGTAATAAAGAACGTACTTCTGAAGATCACAACAAGACAGGAAAATGAACTTTATGTTGGGGGAAATACGGATTTGTAGGACTTGGCTTGCCTGGTCATCATTTGTACTATACAAACGTAAAGAGCAGTTACCAAGTTTGACAATTTTCAGGTGCCATCATGGGTTGCTTTCTAGAGCTTATAAGCCCTGGCTTGAAGTCTTCGATTTGTTTTAGTGATCTTGACCACTCTGGGTTTAGTTTTTTGTTTCTATTTGTAAAATGGAGAGAAATAATAGCCTTCCTACCTGTCTCACAGAGCAGTTGCCCCAATCAATACATGATGTAATTCGTTTGTAAAACTGGATAGGGATCTGCCAGTGTCAGGGATAAGGTCAATTCATTGTCTCCCTATACCATATACTTCAAACTTTCACTATCCAATATTCATAGTATTGTCAATATTATTTTTATAGGTGTTTCAAATGATTGGTATGCAACACTTGATATGCTAAAAGAAAGCTGTCGAATTGCTAGCAGTGTTAATTGGTCAGATGTAGACCTTTCACAGTTCCAAGGTGGGTATTAGTTCTTTTTGACATATAACCACATAAACATCCTGTTTTCTGTAGTAGATTATAAGTTTCTTTATAATTTAAATAAACATCTGGTTACATAGTGTTTTATTTATTTGCTGTTGTTAGTATGCTTACAAACAACACTGTAAAATTTATAATTAAATCTTTTGGCCAGTTTAAGCAGACAGAGGGTCACAAACAAGAGTTCTTTTTTTTTTTTAAATTATTTTTATTATTATTATTAATATTATTATTGTTGTTGATTTTGTACAGAGAGGAAGGGAGAGAGAGAGTTAGAAACATCGATGAGAGAGAGTCATTGATCAGCTGCCTCTTACACACCCCCCACCGGGGATATGCCCACAACCAAGGTACATGCCCTTCAGTCCCCAAGCCGACACTCTATCCATTGAGCCAAACCGGTTTTGGCTACAAACAAGAGTTCTGAAAACAATTTGGCCACATTTAAAGGAATCAGACTTTGAATAATTTTATGATGTCATTCTTCATTGCATGGGAAAGTCACCACCAGTGGAAATTTTGAGGGTTGAAAAAAAATTGTCTTGCTGTTTTCCTTGGAGTATTTACAGAACTGTACTAACTATATTTCCAATGTTTTTCTCATAGGTTTGATGGAGAGTATGAGACAGGCAGATCTCAAGAACTGGTCTTTAGATCAGGTTCAATTTGCTGATCTCTGTTCTTCTCTTAATCAATTCTTTACACAAACTGGCCTTATCCACTCACAGAGTAATGTTCAGCAAAATGTCTGTCATGGTGCCATGCATCCAACAAAACCCTCCCAACACATTGGAACAGGTACGGGTTTAGTTATCTTCTTGATTTTTCTCTTTATTTCTTTTTCAAACTTCATCTCTTTATTTTTAAAATTTAAATTCTTTATTGTTTAAAGTATTACATTTGTGTGTGTGTGTCGTCCCCCCCCCCCCCCCCCCATGACCTCTCTCAAGCTGCTCCCACTCCCCAGCACATGCCCATAATCCCCTACTGTCTATGTCCTTTGGTTATGCTTATATGGATACATACAAGTCCTTTGGTTTATCTCTTACCTTTCCCCCCTCCCACACTCTCCTGCCTTCCCTCTGAGGTTTGACAATCTGTTTGATGCTTCTAAGTCTCTGGATCTATGTTTGTTCATTATATTCCACAAATGAGTGAGATCATGTGATGTACATCTTTCTTTGGATTTTCTTCTTCTCATTCATATGAAATTTAGTGACTGAGGCAACATGGTACATTGTTAATGGTGACAGTGACCCATTTATATATTTTAATTTCTAAGAAGTGAATGAAATCAAATTATGTATTTAACGTATATCTTAGAAAAACTAGGATGAAGAATTTTTTTTTCTTCAAGATTTATATGATTATTGTTTACATTTGACATTCGTTTGCGATCTTTTAAGTTGTCAAACAAGAATTAAATGTCTTCAAGATAGCTACATTTTATAAGAACATAGTTATGAAGATAGATCAACTTAAATTTGTGTATACTTGCAATGAAAATCTTATTTTTATATATCTTCTAAGAATGTTTAAGAAAATTTGCTTTAAGAGTAGACATAATGGTATGTAGTGCCATTGATGTTTCACTCTGGACTCAAAATTTGTGCACTATATTAAATCACATAAAATGGAGACAAATCCCTGTTTTACCCTCATGTGGGGTAGTGGGATGCTTACATGAAGTGATGAAAATGGCTTTACACTGTAATGAGGTATATAACAACAATAATAAATATAACTTGTCTACAAGCTACAGAGAATTAGATGCAGTGCCAGAATTAGTACCAGTGGACTCACACCCAGCCCTGGCATTGTGATAAAAAAGCTAGCACCACCCTGGCAGGTTTAGCAACTGAATGGAGTAAGTTTTCCTTTCCTTTTCTTCCTCACCTTACCAGCTTAACTTAGTCTTAGGTAGCAGTTCTATCAATATTAACATTTTAATGCTTGGTTTGTTTTACTTATGGTAATATGTTTTTTTTTCTTTTTAAAAATCTGATTAGGAAATTTGTACTTAGACTCCAGGCAAAATCTTCCTCCTTCAGTGATGCCACCTCCTGGTTATCCTCATATCCCACAGGCACTCAGCACCCCAGGAACGACGATTACAGGTACTTTGATGTGTTGCAGTTAGTACTCAGAGCTTAATATTGAAAAGCTTGAGCTGTCCTAATAGTGAGGGAGGCTGCCTTTAGAGGGAATGAACTCTGTTAAAGCGGGCAGGGTGAGCAAATCTGTAGAGCTACTTGTCTCCAGTGCTGGTGAAAGGATTTAGGTGTCATTCAGTGTTTGGACCATATGACCTGAAGTCTCCTTTAGCCCATGATGCTGTCTATGGTTCTAATTATTGCCCTGTCTCTAAGAGGTTGGGGCATAAGGTGTGTCCTGGTGTCTTAAGTCTCTTTGAGGCTATTTGACTTGGATAGACTTCAGGTTTTAAGAACCTACTTTGATTAGCTCCTGTATATTCATGTGGATGAAGTTCCCCCAGCTGTAGTTTCCAGGGAAGTACCTTATAGAAGACATGAGTTTCAGGAGTTACTAGTCCCTAAAATTTCCCCCCTAGGTTCCTGAATGTAGGATGTTATGCTTAGTGGGGCAGTAGAGGCACATTTTTAGAGGGAGAGAGTGCCTTAAGGATTATCTAAGTGCGGAAATGGAGGCCCAGAAGGGGAAATAACTTGTCCATAGCCACCGTTTTAGCACATGGCCAACTAAGACTCAAGCTCTGATGTCTAGATTCAGAGTTCATGATTTTTCTTATATGCCACACCTCCCTTTACTTAGACTATTTGAGAAAAGATAAATGGTAATGCAAAGGAGTGGGTTTAAAACTCCCAAAGAACTGTGTGCCAGGCAACAGTGGAGGAGGAATTGGGACTAAGTGACATGTGTTCCCTGTCCTCAGTGCTCACCAGTAACTTGTAGGTGGCAAAACAGGGTAGTTAAGACTCTGGAGCTAGATCCCCAGGGTTTGAGTCCCTGGTGCTTTGACACTTGATAGCTGCCTAACTCTCCTCTCTCAGCGTCCCTATCTGTAAAAGGGGGCTAATAACACTACCTAACTTCTAGCCTTGTTAAGAGAATTAAATGAGGATTGTATGCAAATTGCTTACATTAGTGCCTGGCAGATAGTAAGAAATTTATACATTAAAAATAAGTAAGTACAAGGCATTTCTACAATCCTGTGATGTACTGAAAACCTTAGCATTTTATAAAATTGTACATAAAAGATAAAGGGTTTAAGAGAAAAATAAGATTAGCAGCAGATTTTTTGAAACTTTGTATTCAGAATACTAACAAAAACTATAATCAGTACAAATTCCGCAACCACCCTAGCTGATTTGGCTCAGTGTATAGAGCGTTGGCCTGGGGACTGAAATGGTTGTAGTCTCGATTCTCAGTAGAGGTGTGCAGGAGGCAGCCAATCAGTGATTCTCTCTCATCATTGATGTTTCTATCTCTCTCCCTCTCCCTTCTTCTCTGAAATCAATAAAAAAAAATATTTTTAAAAATTCTACCACAGTTAAAGGACATGTTTAATTCCTAGTAAAAGAATAAATTCTATAAATAAATAAAAATTATTTTTAAAGAAAGAATCTGGTTTGGAAGGCCATTTGTCAAAGCTGTGGAGATAAAGGCAGAATGCACCAAAATTGAGGAGCACAAATAGTGCATGGCCACACTGATCCAAGAAGGGGAGCATGGGGAGAGGAGGCAGATGTATCTGTGGTGTCCTCCGCCGGCTTACGGCACCCAGCGTGTGCATGTCCTCTGTGCTCACCACTGTTACTCGGTGGCACAGAAATGAACTTGCTGAGGAAGTACACTGACAGTGTGACCAGTGGTACACTAACATGATTCTCCTGTTTACCGTTCTCAAGCGAGCCAGCTCATGTATGAAACGTAACCAAAACAGAACAGACTGTGAGGGAAATGGCTGCCTCAGCACTCAGCACTCCACCACTCCTTTCAGGCCATTTTTTTTTTTTTTTTTTCCCCCCTGCAGCCTGGTGTAACGGAAGTGTGTTGGTTTTGGAGTCAAGTGAACTGAGTAAAAATCCTATTTCTTCTTCTTACTAGTTGTATGACTTTGAGTGACTTGCTCATTCTCTTCAACCCAGTCTCTTTTATCTATAAAATGAAAATATAAGAGACACCTCGTAGAAGGCTTCTGGGTGTCTTAGTGAGATAAAGTGTCTGAGTACCGGGCACATGGGAAGTGCTCGGTAGGTTTTTTTTTTGTTTTGTTTTTTTTAAATATATTTTATTGATATTTTTACAGAGAGGAATAGAGAGGGATGGAGAGTTAGAAACATCAATGGGAGAGAATCATTGATCAGCTGCCTCTTGCACACCTCCTACTGGGGATGTGCCTGCAACCCGGGTACATGCCCTTGACTGGAATCGAACCCGGGACCTTTCAGTCCGCAGGCTGACGCTCTATCCACTGAGCCAAACCGGTTTTGGCTCTCGGTAGGTTTTTGTTTATGTCTTCCTTTCCTCAGTACTGGTCACTCTTGACATCGCCTGCTTCCTTCCAGGCCACCACGGAGCCATGAACCAGCAGCACATGATGCCTTCCCCCGCCTTCCAGATGCGGCGCGCGCTGCCTCCCGATGACATCCAGGATGACTTTGATTGGGATTCAATTGTGTAGAGCTTGTTTCTGCGACCTCAGCCCCCAGCATCACCTTTCTGTGCAGTGAAGGGAAAGGTTTAAGAGAATCCAGTTGAGAAAACAAAGTTGCTAATCACTTTACCAATGTTATACAAATTTCTTTTGAAGACAATCAAAAAGATTTTAGCTGGATAACTTTGCTTTTATCTGACCCAAACAAGTACTACATGTTTGTCTCCTGCCAGCTCTTCTGTGTAGCTCCTAACTGTTGTGTGATTTAAACAGCTTTTGCATATTTGTGTCAATTTGATGTTGACCACAAGTGCCAGACTGATTTTTCAGACAGAGCCTGTTTTGCTGCAAGCAGTTTATAGATACAAATGTGTAAATATATGTACAAAATTTACTGAAAGACTTCAATTTTTTTCTAATTGGATTATTAGATCTTGAAAAGAAAGTTACTGTGAGTTTTTATTCCTTGTTAGGCTATTTTTTGCAGGATGCTTTTAACTGATGTGAACAACTGAAAGGAAATAGATTTTTTTAAAAAGCCCAGTTCTTTTTATTTAATCTTTTCAGAAATGTGGGTATTGAGGTCTACCCGGTAAGTGAAAAGCCCAGAATTTGATACTCTCTGATAGTCCAAAGGGGCACGTTGAGAACTGACCAAACTTGTTTTGATGCTTGGGGATTGTAGAATTTATGTTATACCTTGTCAGTGTCTGTTTTCTTAAGTCTGCATTATAATAGCTCTAAAATTTATTTGATTGATTAGAAGCTGGTCATTGTTTGGCTCTTTAAACAGATTGCTATCTCCACTTATTTATTATTCAAAAGTGTTATTTTAATATTTATTGCTACCTTCTGTGAATGCTCAGCTCTAATTGGATTTATTAAGGAGAAATGGAGTATCTGAAAGCACAGAAATATTTTTCTTGATAACAGTGTACAGATAAGACAATCAGAGAGATTGTGTTATTCTTATGACCATCACTCCTCATACCATGTGAGTATATTTCTCTATCTTAGCATTCCTGCTGACTGAAACATATTAGTTAAATAGGATTCTTTCTAGTATTTGAATCCATTCATTTGGGCAACAAATGGCAAGGGATTGTTTATAAAGCAAGTGTTCCCATTCGTTCTCTTTCCATTTAGGAAACAATGACAGGAGGATGGAGACACATGTATTGTTAGTGGCCTGCTGTGTCTGTTGTACTGTGTTTCTGAGGTTGCATGACATTTGGTTACTGTCTTTGAAATGCAACCTGCCTCTTAGAGGTTTTCCTTAGTTGTTCTTTCTTTATATGATTCATATCATATCACAGTTACTTTGCATGGAATGCCTTAGTTTTCTAAAAGAAATGAGGTTTTTAAAAATTAATATATTTTGATTGGTTCCTTAGACCAAAAAAAAAGCAGAATTTCTTTCAGTTCTAATGGGAAAATATGTTTCATCAGATCAAGGAGTAGTAACTGCTCACTGGTTGCTTTTTAGCATCTCTAATCTCTGTCAGCCATGCTTAAATCACTTTAATTAGCTTAGTGATTCTGTGGTTGAATAATCTCTACTTGAACTGAACATATATCTTTGTTTCTATACGTGTGTGTGTGTGTGTGTGTGTGTGTGTGTGAGAGAGAGAGAGAGAGAGAGAGAGAGAGAGAGAGAGAGAGAATTTGAACAAAGTGTGGGGTTTTGTTTTGTTTGTTTTTTAATGGAGTGTTTCCTTGAGTGAATCACTGGGAAGCCAGCCATGGTAAAGGCTGGTGAGGTTGGGGAGAAAGGAAGGGCTTTTTGTTCCTGTTTTTGGACCCTGCTTGGCATGAAAAAGGAAGCTCAGTTCCAGCCCCTGGATCGATGGAAATCAAAGGATTCTGGCAAGGCAGCCAACAGGCCCCTCTTAGACAGATCAGAAGCAAGATGAGATAGCAACCTCCAGAGTAAACGTGTGATAAAGGGGTGTGTGTGAGAGATTTTCAATAGTCTGTTCAAGTCACTGCTTTCTAGATACCAAAATGACTGTTTTTGAAACCTCTAATTGCTTGGGGAGCAAAATGCACTTTAAACAATTTGGGTATTATTGGAATGCAGTCTCTTATATTGAATGATTTGAGTAGAAACCATTGATGAAGATTTTTCAAATCGTGTGAAGCTAATTTCCTATTTGGCAATCTGATTTGCAGTGATCAGTATTTTTATAAGAATTTAAACTTACCGAGAATGGCACTGGAGGCAGAGCCCCCATCCACACCCATCCCCCTCTGTGATTCAGTGACCTGGGAGCCCGGGCAGGCCTCAGCAGGCTCTGCGCCTGGCCAGGCTCCTGGGTGAGGTGCAGAGCATCCCTCTAGTGGCCATTGCAGTTGGTAGTTATTAATTCAGAGTAAGTTCTGTCTTGGGCTTAAATTGACAAGACTTTTGGGGGAAAGAATAATAAATGCATATAATCAAATGGGAATACTCTGTCCAGGAGAATAATCCGACTGGCATTTGTGGTAGTTTTTGAAATGTAAATGTATTCATGTGTGTACTTGTAAATATGTGTCTCTCAGATGTCCTTTGAAGTGGGAGGGAATCAATCGGGATTATTTCAAATGGAATAGAGTATTTTGATATTGTTCATTCAGAGGGTGATGTGTACATATCTATATTGTATATATGTGATGAAAATGCATTGGCTTTTTGTGCAGACACAATCTGCTCTCTGTACTGCTGTTGGACAGTCAGTGTTTTAATGTTTCTACAGTTTTGCTATTGCACGATTTCATATTTTGCCCGTATGATGAACGGCACCCCATTCTTTGTACTGTTTAGTGCTGTAAAGAAATATCCCAAGTGTCATTAGAATTGTTGCTGCCAGAATTGATATGCATGAATGGCACTTAAAATAAATATATAATGTTAACTCTATAACACTGACTCTTCTATATAATTTTGTACAATTAAGGGGATAAAATTGGGACTAGTCCAGATGTGGAAACCCCTGTCCATAATTGGGGTCTCAGAGACTTTGTCCCATGTATTGCTGCCTCCAAACAGTCATTGCTGCCATTTATTGAACACCTCACTTGCTCTGTGAACTTAAGGAAGTTATTTAACTTCTCTGACCCTCACTGTCTTCATTTCCCTCATTTACAGTGCCTATAAATAAGGATAATGTCTCCTAGAGTTGAAGTGATATTAATTTAACGCATTTAAATATTTGGAGCAAACAGCCTGGTACTGGCACAAGAACAGACATATAGATCAATGGAATCGAATCGAGAACCCAGATATCAACCCAAATCACTATGCTCAATTAATATTTGACAAAGGAGGCACGAATATATCAATACAATGGAGTCAAGACAGTTTCTTCAATAAATGGTGTTGGGAAAATTGGACAGACACTTGCAAAAGAATGAAACTAGATCACCAACTTACACCATTCACAAAAATAAACTCAAAATGGATACAGGACTTAAACATCAGACGGGAAACCATAAAAATACTAGAAGCATCCACAGGCAGCAAAATTTCAGACGTATGCCAAAAGAACTTCTTCACTGATATTACCCCTAGGGCAATGGAAGCTAAAGAGAAAATAAACAAATGGGACTACATCAAAATAAAAAGCTTTTTTACATCAAAAGAAACCATCAACAAAACAACAAGAAAGCCCACTATCTGGGAGAACATATTTGCAAATGATACCACTGATAAAGGTTTAATCTCCAACATCTACAAACAGCTTATACAACTAAATAAAAGGAAGATGAATAATCCAATTAAAAAATGGGCAATGGACCTAAATAGAACATTTTCAAAAGAAGACAGATGGAAGGCCAAAAGGCACATGAAGCTCAAAGTCACTAATTGTCCGAGAGATGCAAATCAAAACAACAATGCGGTACCATCTCACACCTGTCAGGATGGCCAACATTAACAAGTCAACAAACGACAAGTGTTGGCGAGGTTGCGGAGAAAAAGGAACCCTCGTGCACTGCTGGTGGGAATGCAGACTGGTGCAACCATTGTGGAGAACAGTGTTGAAAAACTGAAAATGGAACTCCCATTTGACCCACTAATCCCACTTCTAGGAATATATCCCAAGAAACTAGAAACACCAATCAGAAAGGATATATGCACCCCTATGTTCATAGGAGCACAATCTACAATAGCCAGAATTTGGAAACAGCCTAGGTGCCCATCAGCAGATGATTGGATCAAAAAACTATGGTACATCTATACAATGGAATACTATGCTGCCATAAAAAAAGAAGGAATTCTCATCATTTGCAGCAACCTGGATGGAATTGGAGAACATCATGCTGAGTGAAATAAGCCAATCAATGAAAGAGAAACACCACATGACCTCACTCATTTGTGGATGATAAAGAACATTATAAACTGATGAACCAAAAGATAGATATAGAGACAGTATATCAACAAGTAGACTGTCAAATTACAGTGGGGAGGGGAGGAAGATCTGGGAGAGATAATAGATCAACCGAAGGACTTTTATACATGCATATAAGTACAACCAATGGACACAAAACTCTGGGGAGGGTGGGGATGTGTGGGAGGGAAGGAGGGGGACAAAAAAAAAAAATCAATAAAATATATTAAAAAAATATAAATAAATAAATAAATAAATATTTGGAGCAGCACCAGGGACATTAAAAAAAAAAAAAAAAGTACTAGTATATGCCAGGTGCTGTGCTAAGTAGGCATTGCTATCCTCATCCGGGGAAACTCAGTGGTCTAGTCGTTTACCCAGATTCTTTTTTGGAAAGTGGCCGAGTTGAGGTTCGAATCCAGGTCATTTGACTCCATTGTCTTGTCTTTTTTTTTACACCATCCTCTGTTACATCCGGGTAACTCCCCATCCCAGCCTTCCCCTTGTCCTCAGTCTTGCCCTCAGCACAGCCTTTCCAGAGAGTTATTTCCAAAGGTTGAAGTGGAGCACACACTATACCAGATCTTCCCACGAGAAATTCAGAGATGAGACCATTCTGTCTTTAGGGGATACAGATTTAACCCGTTCAGGTAGCAAATGCCAGCCCAGGGAAGGCTACTCTGGAGGTGCCCTGGCAAGGCTTTGGTGGTGAGGACTTAGGTCATGCAGGGCTGGGGCAGTGGTTTAGGAGAGCCTCAGTGTGAACATGGGCAATTTGAGTCGAGTCTTCAAAGGGTCCCAGACCCTATGAATCCCACTGCTGTGAGCCAGGCCTGGAAGCTAGATGAGCAGGGCGGGATTGAAGCGGGAGAAGTGATGGATTGCTCGTAAACAACCAAGCTCAGAAATCCTATGAGAAGTGGGATCCGAATCCCCTGACCGATGTGGAAATCAGCTAAGCAGTGGGGAGACTAACATGGTGGCTGTGGACTTAAAGCTGCCTGCAGTCTGTCTCACTCGGTGAGTGCTTCCCACCATTCCATGATCCTACCCAAGGCCTCGTGTTACTTTTAACAGAACCCATACAATGCTGCCAGGAAAGTTACCTACTTTTTTACAGATGGGGCCTCATTCCAAAGATCATTTCCTTTTACACTAATTCCCTCCAAAAAGGAATTTTCCCAACGCCGGGGAGCGTGCCTACCTGCCCAGTTTGTGTCTCTTGCAGGAGGGAGCTCTGAGTTCTCCCATCACAGGTGAAGGGTGGTCATCAGCAGTGCGTCTGAAGGACTGTGGTAGGGATGTAGGTAAGCGTGGTCACTATGGACTGACTCAGGCACAGTGAAGTACACCTCTGTGCTGATCTAATGGAAAAGGTAAATAAGATCATTAAGGTGCATGTTTCCTTCTCAAGGCTTCAGCGTGTTACAGTGTGCGGAGGGCTGCTATATTTAGGTGAATCCTCACCACTTGGATAAAGCAGCCCTGGAAAAACCATGTAAACCTCAGCATTTAGGTTGACTGCAATCTAAATGCCTTAGTATCGCAAAACTTGTCTTGAAAGTTGCAAGCTAGAAGGGTATTTGGAACTCGTCTAATAACAAACCCCACATTTTGCTGTTGAGAGTCCTGAGACCCAGAGAGGGAATGACTAGCTCAAAGTCATACAGTTAGGGGGAAACCGAGGGAAGAGGAGGAGTGGAGAACGTCATTTACCTGAAAAGCATTTTAAAAGTTCTCACACACATTGTCTTACTTGATGTACACAAGAACCTGACACTGTAGTACACAGTTATTACTCCATTTTACAGAAGAGGAGGTAAGTCTCAATGCAGCTGCCTCCTGAATGCATTCGCTTAACTCACACAACTTCAGTTCTATCCACTTGGCCAAACAGAGAGAGAATGGAAATCTTAAGTAATGTAGTGAGTATCCGCCTGTGGTGAACATGTGCCCCTCAGTGAGTGTGAGATGGAAGATTCGAACCTGAGATCCTAACAGGTACTGCTTCCATGTATCTTTCTTTTGA